TGTTTGGTCTCAGTACAGATGAAGTATAATGTATTCTATGTTCGTGCTCAGTATAGATGAAGTATAATGTAATTTATGTTAGTGCTCACTACAGATGAAGTATAATGTAATCTATGTTAGTGCTCAGTATAGATGAAGTATAATGTAATCTATGTTTGGTCTCAGTATAGATGAAGTATAATGTATTCTACGTTTGTGCTCAGTATAGATGAAGTATAATATATTCTATGTTTGTGCTCAGTATAGATGAAGTATAATGTATTCTATGTTTGTGCTCAGTATAGATGAAGTATAATGTATTCTACGTTTGTGCTCAGTATAGCTGAAGTATAATGTATTCTATGTTTGTGCTCAGTATAGATGAAGTATAATGTATTCTACGTTTGTGCTCAGTATAGATGAAGTATAATGTATTCTACGTTTGTGCTCAGTATAGATGAAGTATAATGTATTCTACGTTTGTGCTCAGTATAGATGAAGTATAATGTATTCTATGTTTGTGCTCAGTATAGATGAAGTATAATGTATTCTATGTTTGTGCTCAGTATAGATGAAGTATAATGTATTCTATGTTTGTGCTCAGTATAGATGAAGTATAATGTATTCTATGTTTGTGCTCAGTATAGATGAAGTATAATGTATTCTACGTTTGTGCTCAGAATAGCTGAAGTATAATGTATTCTATGTTTGTGCTCAGTATAGATGAAGTATAATGTATTCTACGTTTGTGCTCAGTATAGATGAAGTATAATGTATTCTACGTTTGTGCTCAGTATAGATGAAGTATAATGTATTCTATGTTTGTGCTCAGTATAGATGAAGTATAATGTATTCTATGTTTGTGCTCAGTATAGATGAAGTATAATGTATTCTATGTTTGTGCTCAGTATAGATGAAGTATAATGTATTCTATGTTTGTGCTCAGTATAGATGAAGTATAATGTATTCTATGTTTGTGCTCAGTATAGCTGAAGTATAATGTAGTCTGTATGTGTGTGTCAACTACAGATGACGTATAATTAATAAAGTATGTGTGTAAAATAATATACGTGTGACCATTACATACAAAGTCTGTGTGTGATATACGTGTGTAACTAATATGTATGTTTGTTTGTACGAGTATGTGTATATATAGATCTTTATTTTTTCTCCCAGCTATGTTGGATCCTCGACTACTACTAATTTTGCTGTTGATACTACTATTACTATTACTACTATAAATACTACTACTAGTAGTAGTGCTGCTGCTGCTTCTGCGACTACTAATAAACAACCGTAGGCAGTTACAAGTTGCTCACGTTTCCCTATAGGTCCAACTATAATCTCGTCAGTTTTGGTGTCAACCCAGGTCTGTGTTTGGTTAACCTTTCCTCTGACTGTCCCATAGGCAATACCTGACTCCTGAAAGACATAAACAGATGTTTGCCATCATACGGTTATAAGTGATGTTACGTTGTATTTTTGTATTGTTATATACGTGTCACTGTTGAATGTATGTCTTGTTATACATGTGTCAATGTTGCACGTCTGTCTTTGTGTTAATATATCTGCCATTACTGTTAAGCTTTGTGTTAAAATATTTGCCATTATTGTTTTGTGTTGATATATTTGCCATTATTGTTAAGCTTTGTGTTAAAATATTTGCCATTATTGTTTTGTGTTGATATATTTGCCATTATTGTTAAGCTTTGTGTTAAAATATTTGCCATTATTGTTTTGTGTTGATATATTTGCCATTATTGTTAAGCTTTGTGTTAAAATATTTGCCATTATTGTTTTGTGTTGATATATTTGCCATTATTGTTAATCTTTGTGTTGATATATTTGCCATTATTGTTAAGCTTTGTGTTAATATATTTGCCATTATTGTTAATCTTTGTGTTGATATATTTGCCATTGTTGTTAAGCTTTGTGTTAATATATTTGCCATTATTGTTAATCTTTGTGTTGATATATTTGCCATTATTGTTTAGCTTTGTGTTGATATATTTGCCATTATTGTTATGCCTTGTATTAATATATTAGCCATTATTGTTAAGCTTTGTGTTAATATATTTGCCATTATTGTTAAGCTTTATGTTAATATATTTGCCATTATTGTTAAGCTTTGTGTTAATATATTTGTCATTATTGTTAAGCTTTGTGTTAATATATTTGCCATTATTGTTAAGCTTTGTGGTAATATATTTGCTATCATTATTAAGCTATATGTTAATAAATTTGCCATTATTGTTAAAGCTTTGTGTTGATATAATTGCCATTATTGTTTAGCTTTCTGTTGATATATTTGCCATTATTGTTAATCTTTGTGTTGATATATTTGCCATTATTGTTAAGCTTTGTGTTAATATATTTGTCATTATTTTTAAGCTTTGTGTTGATATATTTGCCATTATTGTTTAGCTTTGTGTTGATATATTTGTCATTATTCTTAAGCTTTGTGTTAATATATTTGCCATTATTGTTAAGCTTTGTGTTAATATATTTGCCATTATTGTTAACCTTTGTGTTGATATATTTGCCATTATTGTTAAGCTTTGTGTTGATATATTTGCCATTATTGTTAAGCTTTGTGTTAATATATTTGCCATTATTGTTAAGCTTTGTGTTAATATATTTGTCATTATTGTTAAGCTTTGTGTTGATATATTTGCCATTATTGTTTAGTTTTGTGTTGATATATTTGTCATTATTGTTAAGCTTTGTGTTAATATATGTACCATTATTGTTTAGCTTTGTGTTAATATATTTGCCATTATTGTTAAGCTTTGTGTTAATATATTTGCCATTTTTGTTAAGCTTTGTGTTGATATATTTGCCATTATTGTTAAGCTTTTTGTTAATATATTTGTCATTATTGTTTAGTTTTGTGTTAATATATTTGCCATTATTGTAAAGCTTTGTGTTAATATATGTGCCAATATTGTTAAGCTTTGTGTTGATATAATTGCAATTATCGTTATGCTTTGTGTTAATATATTTGCCATTATTGTTAAGCTTTATGTTAATATTTTGCCATTATTGTTAAGCTTTGTTTTAATATATTTGTCATTATTGTTTAGCTAGGTGTCAATATATTTGCTATTATTGTTTAGCTTTGTGTTGATTTATTTGCCATGTATTTGTGTATGTGAATTTATAATTTGTCATTTTTGTGTGTGCGTTAGTTTACAGACATTTAAAATGTCTTTGTGTTTATAGATTTGTTATTGTATCTGTAAAAACAAATGTTTTTTGTATGTTTGTTATTACACTCACAAATGTTGTAATGTGTGTGTTTAAACATGTGTCTATGAAGCTAGTAGTTCCGTTTATATATATATATATGCAAATGTCAAATATCACATGATCATACATTCGATATGATTTGATGAAGTCAATTATTGTCACTGTAAACACAAAACAATTCAGTAGCATTAGAAATGTAGGCAAAGCAAAGAAATCAAACCTAATCTCACACTTGATGGTCGAGGTAGTTACATTCAAGATGGACATACATTCATTAAACAGCAATACTAGCAAGATAAATAATGGACATAAAAATGTTATAAGAGCACATACTGAGTACAGACGTATGCTTTATGCAGGCACAGCTGTGAAGCATATAGTTGTTAGCTGTATATCCTTGACAGGACACTGCACAACCAACCGCAGCATCTTTTGACTGTTTATAATTTTTCTAGGCCAATTAAAGTTTAGTTGTTTGCCACTGCTCACTGCACAGTCGACTCTTGATACCAATGTCGAAACCAACGCAAGGCGATCTATTTCCAAATCTCCTGCATCTGGGATCGAACCCAGCAATCCGGTATTACGAAACGTGTTCGCAACGCCTAAGCCACATGTTTTTGCGTATCCTTTACATGACGTTGCAGAACCAACCCAGCAGCTCCTGGCTGTTGTGTTGTTAGGTTTTTCAAGGCAAATTTACGTCCAGTAGTTTGCCATTGCTCCCTGGACGGTCGGCTTGTTGATACCACTGTCGAAACCACCGCAAGGCGCGTGGCCCGCAGCTGGGATGGAACCCGGCATCCCGGCTTTACGAAGCGTTCGCATCGATTTAGCCACAGAGCCGACCTAAGCCACAGAGCAGACGTGATTTGTGTGAAATTGAACAAAAATATAATAACGACTCGCTTGAAATCAGGACATGTGGAAGAGGGGAAGAGGGAGGGGGGGGGGGGGTAGCTAGTGTATAAATTAATCATAAAATAGCTGTAATATTTGAAACACAGGTTTTGACCACTATAAGTTTATACCTTTGACCCAATTAGTTTATACCTTTGACCCAATTAGTTTATACCTCTGACCCGATTAGTTTATACCTTTGACCCAATTAGTTTATACCTTTGACCCGATTAGTTTATACCTTTGACCCGATTAGTTTATACCTTTGACCCAATTAGTTTATACCTTTGACCCGATTAGTTTATACCTTTGACCCGATTAGTTTGTACCTTTGACCCGATTAGTTTATACCTTTGACCCAATTAGTTTATACCTTTGACCCAATTAGTTTATACCTTTGACCCGATTAGTTTATACCTTTGACCCGATTAGTTTGTACCTTTGACCTGATTAGTTTATACCTACTAATAAAGGCACATATTTATGTGTAGATGTATATATATATATATATATATATATATATATATATATATATATATATATATATATATATATATATGTGTGTGTGTGTGTGTGTGTGTGTGTGTGTGTGTGTGTGTGTGTGTGTCCCGAGATGAGGAGGAGACATAAAACACACGTGAATGGGAGACAAACAAAAAAAGTATTCCTCTGAAACAAGACCACGCATTCAAAAAGATTTCACATTAACACAACTGACAGTTACCTGGTCTTGATATGGCTTAAAAAGATATGCGTTGATACAACATAATATAATTAGGTTCTTTGTAGAAACTCGATAAGTGCAAAACAGAAAGCTACAGTACAGACAGTATTTTTGAAAGCGTGTGGTCGGGTCAAGTCTTTAGACTCACCATTGAGAAGTACTCGTCCTCGTAAATGACGTTTCGGGTGGAGTTGACTTTCTTCTCTATGAACACATAAAAGTTGTCATCGAATGTTGGTTTCAGTCCTGGGGATATCACAGGCCAACACTTAGATCTTTATTCCCTCACATAGCCATATAATAGCTAATAATTATCTATACTGGCACCGACCCTTAGTTTGATATAACGCTTTGTTTGAGACGACTTCCACCAATACAGATGTCTTTTTTCTTCCCATCTCTGAGACAACTTCCACCAATACAAATGTCTTATTTCTTCCCATCTCTGAGACAACTTCCACCAATACAGATCATATTTCTTCCCATCTTTGAGACAACTTTCACCAATGCAGATGTTTTATTTCTTCCCATCTCTAAGACCACTTACACCAATACAGATCTTATTTCTTCCCATCTCTGAGACCACTTCCACCAATACAGATGTCTTATTTCTCCCCATCTCTGAGACCAGTTCCACCAATATAGATGTCTTATTTCTTCCCATCTCTGAAACAACCCCCACCAATACAGATGTCTTATTTCTCCCCATCTCTGCAACAACTCCCACCAATATAGATGTCTTATTTCTTCCCATCTCTGAAACAACCCCCACCAATACAGATGTCTTATTTCTCCCCATCTCTGCAACAACTCCCACCAATACAGATGTCTTATTTCTCCCCATCTCTGCAACAACCCCCACCAATACAGATGTCTTATTTCTTCCCATCTCTGAGACTTCCACCAATACAGATGTCTTATTTCTTCCCATCTCTGCAACAACTTCCACCAATACAGATGTCTTATTTCTTCCCATCTCTAAGACTTCCACCAATACAGATGTCTTATTTCTTCCCATCTCTAAGACTTCCACCAATACAGATGTCTTATTTCTTCCCATCTCTAAGACTTCCACCAATACAGATGTCTTATTTATTCCCATCTCTAAGACTTCCACCAATACAGATGTCTTATTTCTTCCCATCTCTAAGACTTCCACCAATACAGATGTCTTATTTCTTCCCATCTCTAAGACTTCCACCAATACAGATGTCTTATTTCTTCCCATCTCTAAGACTTCCACCAATACAGATGTCTTATTTCTTCCCATCTCTAAGACTTCCACCAATACAGATGTCTTATTTCTTCTCATCTCTAAGACTTCCACCAATACAGATGTCTTATTTCTTCCCATCTCTAAGACTTCCACCAATACAGATGTCTTATTTCTTCCCATCTCTAAAACTTCCACCAATACAGATGTCTTATTTCTTCCCATCTCTAAGACTTCCACCAATACAGATGTCTTATTTCTTCCCATCTCTAAGACTTCCACCAATACAGATGTCTTATTTCTTCCCATCTCTAAGACTTCCACCAATACAGATGTCTTATTTCTTCCCATCTCTAAGACTTCCACCAATACAGATGTCTTATTTCTTGCCATCTCTAAGACTTCCACCAATACAGATGTCTTATTTCTTCCCATCTCTAAGACTTCCACCAATACAGATGTCTTATTTCTTCCCATCTCTAAGACTTCCACCAATACAGTTGTCTTATTTCTTCCCATCTCTAAGACTTCCACCAATGCAGATGTCTTATTTCTTCCCATCTCTAAGACTTCCACCAATACAGATGTCTTATTTCTTCCCATCTCTAAGACTTCCACCAATACAGATGTTTTAACTTATCCCGGCTCTGTAACAACAAACACCAAACTACACAATGGATGTAGCATGCACCCAAGAGACCAACGTCCGTGTTCGTCATAATTTTCACTAAAGGAGTATCGAGCCATTTGCTTGGATTATGAAGTGCAAGAGTGAAAAGTTCTGATCCATAAAACAAAATGTCACAGAGACAATATTGCTGTATTGGGTGAATCTATATTGCAATCAGTTAATAAAAGAAGGAACCAATTTGTTGTCTACCTATTAGCCTATGTGGGAGTCGCAGTGGCATTGATGGATAGACGCCCGCCTGCGGATCGGAAGGTCGTGAGTTCGACAGAGCCGGAATTTTTTTCAAAAATGACCTTGACTCCCAGGCCGACCCAGCCTTGAGTGGGTACCAGGTGCAATCCTAGGAAGTAACTTCGGCCCGCCTGATGCTGACCACATCACCCACCAAGTGCCGATTGGTCTTTAAAAATAAAGGTCTAGCCCTCAATTCCAAATGCGCGCAAAAACATCCACTTTTATTTCCAGGGGCATGGTTTTTGCCAAGGTCCATTGTCTGTACTTCAATAGATCTTTTCATCCATCTGTACAGGAGCTACGTCTAATTTAACCCACACCTGTGTTTCTTGAGAAGAATACTTGGCATTAGGTGGCAAGACAAGATCACAAACACAGTGGTATTGGGAAGAGCAGGTGTCGCAACGGTCTTTTCAATGTCGTCACAGGCTTAGATGGTTAGGACACATTCGAAGAATTGAGGGTGATAGAGTGCCAGGGATATCCTCTATGGCGAACTGCTGATGGGTAGAGATAGTGGGGTTTCTTACTATATGAAGATTTGTGCACGTGGGCTAAGAATGATACTGGTATTCAGGAGAATACAATACGGATTCTGCGTCGTGGACAAGAAAATGGAGGAGTGAGTGAGCCAGAGGGAGAGAATCAGGGTGAGAATGAGAACACACGAGTGGATGGCTGCAGGTAGGTTATGATTTGGGAGTTTGACAAAAACCGCATCAAATACATTGGATGGGATTCATGGGATGCTGGGGATCCTGTTGCCTCGAACAGAAAAATGTCGAGATTTATGCGTGAGTGTGAAAATGCGTGTCTGTGTGTGTGTGTGTATATATATTTATATATATATATATATATATATATATATATATATATATATATATATATATATATATGCGTGTGTGTGTGTGAGGCGTTGAGCTATCGAACTATTTACTGCTTAAAATTAAAAAAAAAAATCAATACGCCACTTTCACCACTTAGTTGACTACTTTTGACAGCCGGTGAGCAGTAGCGTGGCTGCAGAATGATGGAATGAGGAAGAAAAACAATATTTACAAAACAAAATTTACATTTACATAAATGGTACGGATAAGAGATAGAATAAAGTAATAATATGAAATAGAAATAAAAAATAATTAAAACTGAAAATGTGATAAGAGTAAAACTGTTTAGATGAATGTATGTTAGACGTTGATGCCACCTGGTCGAAGAACACCTAGGCTGTGGATGAGGCGATTTTCCAAAGCTGTTCGCGGTGTATAGTCGCCGGAGCAAGATTTTATTACTGTGACAGATATATCATCTTTACCTCTGTTGTCAGGGCTGTTAAAATGGAGAGATCGGTTTAAGTGTCCTTTCATCAATTATGAAGAGGTGTTCCCGGAAACGTTAAACTAGTTTCCTGCTAGTTTCTCCAATGTATACCTTGTTGCATTTTTTTGCACATTTTACTGGAAATCCTAGGTTTTAGCTTGACTGCGGTCATACCCATATTTTCACTACTGTAGAATGATGCACGGCTGCGAAAAGTTGCTAGGAGATTAGAGTTTCCAAAACTATCATTACCAAACGTTAAGCTAGTTTCCTGCTAGTTTCTCCAATGTATACCTTGTTGCATTTTTTTGCACATTTTACTGGAATTCCTTGGTTTTAGCGTGACTGCGGTCATACCCATATTTTCACTACTGTAGAATGATGCACGGCTGCGAGAAGTTGCTGTAGAGTTTCCAAAACTATCATACAAACTATGCATGATCGTTATCATGTAGCCGGCAGTGCAGAAGAAGTGTGCAGGTCTGGGCGTCCAAGGTCGTAGCACACGTGACAATTGAAAGTAGCCTTAATTTTTTTTTTTTTGGGGGGGGGGGGGGGGGGGGGGTCAGTGTAAATTATTCATACCCAACGTGTTTCATGTTCATGTGGTTTGCCATTATTCTCCACTGTGTTAATTTCTGCCGCCCCACTTCCCCAATCTACATCCGGGTGTTCGGCGAACCTTCACTTGTATACCACGTTAATGATTGACTGTTCATTATCTATAGCCTTAGCAGAAGCAATATGGTTACAGCCATTGCCTATTTATTATCGGTCGATACAAGTGTTATCACACATGGCATGCAATCATAGCTTAGCTGGCTGTTTATTTTGTTTTTTGAATAGGTATTATTTCTTTACTTTATTCTTGCCAAACACTGAAAAATAACGAGCCTTATCATAACTTTTTTTTTTTTTTTTAAATAGTTGCTAAAACCAATAAATGTACAGTAAATAATGTGTGTTTCCTGTACAGTCAATAATCGGTGTGTCATCTGCATTCAATAACGTGTATATCCTGTACGGTCGATAAAGTGTATATCCTTATGGACAGTCAATAACGTGTATACCCTGTATGTACAGTCAAAAATGTGTATGTCCTGTACAGTTAATAATGTGTATGTCCTTATGTACAGTCAATAATGTGTAAATCCTGTGTGTAAGTAAAAGTAAGTAAAGTAAAGATCCCTTCACACGCCCTTAGGCGCTTTGGGCATATGGGAAGAGCACCCATATTTTTACAGACCAATCGGCACTCGGTGGGTAATGTGGTCAGCATTACGCCAGCCGTCTTTACTTTCACAGGACAGCCCATCCTGGTAATCCTGTGTGTACAGTCAATAATGTGTGTATCCTTTGCAGTCAATAGTGCGTGTATAAGTACAGTCAATAATGTGCATATTCTGTGCAGTAAATAATGAGTATATCCTGTAGAGTCAATAATGTGCATATCCTTTGCAGTCTGTACATGACTGTTCATGACATACATATTATTGACTGTACAATAATGTGTATATCATGTACAGTCAATAATTTGTACATCATGTACAGTCAATAATGTGTACATCATGTACAGTCAATAATTTGTATATCAAGTGCAGTCGATCGTCGTTGTATTCTGTATAGTCTATAATGTGTACATCCTGTGCGGTAAATAAAGTAAGTGTCATGTACAATTTCTTTGTGGCAAAACACGAGGTTCCTTTTTATAGTCTATATTTACTTATAATTGTGAAATGTAATGACGGATAAAGGAGGGTGGGGAAAAAACGGGTAGGGTGGATGCTTGGCTTCGCTAAACTATATTCCTGGTCAAGAAAACGGTTTTCAGGCAAATGAGAGTTTGTGTCTCCCCACTGTGTGGGCTGGCTGTAAATCCCCTGTGTTGTGGGCTGGCTGTAAATCCCCTGTGTTGTGTGGGCTGGCTATAGATCCCCACTGTGTAGGTTGGCTGTAGATCCCCCTGTGTTGTGGGCTGGCTATAGATCCCCTGTGCTGTGGGCTGGCTATAGATCCCCTGTGCTGTGGGCTGGCTATAGATCCCATGTGCTGTGGGCTGGCTATAGATCCCATGTGCTGTGGGCTGGCTGTAGACCCCCCTGTGCTGTGGGGCTGTAGATCCCATGTGCTGTGGGCTGACTGTAGATCCCCCTGTGCTGTGGGGCTGTAGATCCCATGTGCTGTGGGCTGGCTGTAGATCCCATGTGCTGTGGGCTGGCTGTAAATCCCCTGTGTTGTGTGGGCTGGCTGTAGATCCCCACTGTGTTGGTTGGCTGTAGATCCCCTTGTGCTGTGGGCTGGCTATAGATCCCCCTGTGTTGTGGGCTGGCTATAGATCCCCTGTGCTGTGGGCTGGCTATAGATCCCCTGTGCTGTGGGCTGGCTATAGATCCCATGTGCTGTGGGCTGGCTATAGATCCCATGTGCTGTGGGCTGGCTGTAGATCCCCCTGTGCTGTGGGGCTGTAGATCCCATGTGCTGTGGGCTGGCTGTAGATCCCCTGTGTTGTGGGCTGGCTATAGATCCCCTGTGTTGTGGGCTGGCTGTAGATTCCCTGTGCTGTGGGCTGGCTGTAGATCCCCTGTGTTGTGGGCTGGCTATAGATCCCCTGTGCTGTGGGCCGGCTGTAGATCCCCACTGTGTGGGTTGGCTATAGATTCCCTGTGTTGTGGGCTGGCTGTAGATCCCCTGTGCTGTGGGGCTGTAGATCCCCTGTGCTGTGGGCTGGCTGTAGATCCCATGTGCTGTGGGCTGTAGATCCCCTGTGCTGTGGGGCTGTAGATCCCATGTGCTGTGGGGCTGTAGATCCCATGTGCTGTGGGGCTGTAGATCCCATGTCACAGAAGAAAACGAATTTTTATCTTTGTATAGTTTACGATAAATTAGGATTTCGTTCTATAGTTATCAACCCTTTTGAAATCTGGAGTCACTTATACTTTTGCAACATAATCACCTATATTTTTTTTAATATGTAGTCACATATTCCTTGAACACCCCCTCCAACCCCCCCCCCCCCCCCCTATTTTTTTTTTTTTACCTCAAAGTATTCTAGATGTTTTGGAAAAAGACTAAGACCCTAAAACAACTTTCGTAGTCTTTAGAATGACGAAAACTGGAAAATATTATTACAAATTGAAAGATTTTTGGAAATAGATATTCAGGAAGACGGCGAGAGAAGATTCTTGACAGACTTTTATCATAGAATTCAAAAGCGTGTGTATCAGAAACTATTGTTACGCAAATGTGATAAACCACGCTTCACAGACTTGAAGACATGTGCTATCCAAGCGTGTGTGTGTGGAACCTGGTGAGCAACCCTCAACATTGGTGATATATCTGCATATTTACTAATCCTGTTTTATGAAGGGTCTTACCTTGATTATCGTCTGGTTCTACATTCAGTATACGCTGACTACAAAAGTGTTGGTCGAAGTCGCCAATGACGACAGCAATAAGTAATGTCATAGACAGCCAGCAAACTGAAAGCGGCATGTTTGCAGATCTGTGTTTGCGAGATCTGTGTTTGCAGATCTGTGTTTGCCAGTTCAAGCTTCACAATTCAAAGCTGACTGAAAAAAAAACATATGTAAATACACAAGTTTCTCTTTAATAGCAGTGCTTTTAGCGTGTCGTCCTAAACGTCATACCAAACAACAACAACAAAAAGAAGAGACAGGCATTAAAGTGCCAATATATTTTACACATTATTAAGTTTGGTATTCATTGAAGTTCAATAAAGAAAAGCAAATCAATCATCGTGGTATGTTTCACAAAAGATTGAGGTGTCACTAAGATTTCAGGGGCAGGGTAGAACTCTATGAAACGTCGGCCTTTTGGGCGGGAATCTGCATCAAGGCCGACATGCTTAGGACTACCCCGACAACACAGCCGAAAATGGGTACCCACAAATGTTCAGGTGAGGGGAGATGGCTAACATGATGGTAGCCAGCTCACCCATTGACTTGTCTGAAACTATATAGCTCCAGCACCATACACCCGATGTAGCTTTGACGTGAAAGCGGTACTTTTCTTTAACTATGCGAACTCATGCCTGTCTCTTCATTAGACCATAGAAATGGCTTCAACAACCTGCCCCAGATATATGTGGTATCGTCTCAGATGATAAAATTATCTGACACACCCCCCCCCCCTCCCCACATTTTATTACCCAATATTCCAGGAATTTATGTCAACCGAGCCTAAAATTGATATCACATCACTCTATAGACTGCTGGTGGGTCTACAACTGATACCACATCACTCTATAGACTGCTGGTGGGTCTACAACTGATGCCACATCACTCTGTAGACTGCTGGTGGGTCTACAACTGATACCACATCACTCTATAGACTGCTGGTGGGTCTACAACTGATACCACATCACCCTATAGACTGCTGGTGGGTCTACAACTGATACCACATCACTCTATAGACTGCTGGTGGGTCTACAACTGATACCACATCACTCTATAGACTGCTGGTGGGTCTACAACTGATACCACATCACTCTATAGACTGCTGGTGGGTCTACAACTGATACCACATCACTCTATAGACTGCTGGTGGGTCTACAACTGATACCACATCACCCTATAGACTGCTGGTGGGTCTACAACTGATGCCACATCACTCTATAGACTGCTGGTGGGTCTACAACTGATGCCACATCACTCTATAGACTGCTGGTGGGTCTAAAACTGATGCCACATCACTCTATAGACTGCTGGTGGGTCTACAACTGATGCCACATCACTCTATAGACTGCTGGTGGGTCTACAACTGATGCCACATCACTCTATAGACTGCTGGTTGGTCTACAACTGATGCCACATCACTCTATAGACTGCTGGTGGGTCTACAACTGTTGCCACATCACTCTATAGACTGCTGGTGGGTCTACAACTGATACCACATCACTCTATAGACTGCTGGTGGGTCTACAACTGATGCCACATTACTCTATAGACTGCTGGTGGATCTACAACTGATGCCACATCACTCTATAGACTGCTGGTGGGTCTACAACTGATACCACATCACTCTATAGACTGCTGGTTTGTCTACAACTGCTTTGTAGAACCTGTCTTCCGCCGGTCGACGTTGTTCTTCGTGCCACTTAGCTGTCTGGATCGCTTCACCAGTTCTTTTATAGTTTTCTTGGGAACCGTTGTTGTGCCTCTCTTGCCCGGTCTTGGTTTTGGCTTTGTTTGCGTTTCTTTGGTTTTCTTGTCTGGTCTTACAACCTTGGTGTCTGGTTCTTGTTGTGCTAGAGCAGTTTCTCCTTTTTGTTGGATTTCTCTGAGCATTGCCCAAACTCTGACTTGAACTCTTGCATTGATGTTGCCTAGGTCGCCACTTGTCTTTTAATTTCTATTGTAGACATAGTATATCAACCATCTGCTCCATCTCCCATCTTATTTGTGTGTGCTGCCTTTTCCTGTCGGAGATTCCGGAAATCATTCTTCAACTGGTCTATCTGATTTTGATGTCTTCACTTGCCCAGCAAGATGTCGTTCCTGGTTGCCTCACATCTTTTTGGGGGCCTCTTTGTGAAGTAAGTTCTCTTTGACGGATGTTTGTGTTTTCACTGTCTCTCCTCACTGTTGCAGATATAGACATCGTAGTATGTGGCCCCATGTGGTCCGGAGCAGTTTGCGCATTTCCTATTTGTGTTGGGCTTTCAGAAAGCGCTATTCATCTTAGCCTCTAGACATTAGCTGTAGGCATAAGGCTCCCAGCAAATTCTGCAAATCTTCTGTTTGCCTAGTCAAGTTGTTCGGGAGTGCCAGGCCTTCTGGCAGCGCGAACATTGCAGTATTGATGGGACAGACTGCTCTGGTCTTTGTGGCTTTTTGTCGAATATAACTTTTTCTATGATATAGTCACCTTCGATTGTCACCGCAACCACTGTCGTAGGGTTGTGTCTAAGTCCCAGTCGCCCCACCTTGGTAATTTCGGGTTTTCTTTCTGTATTTGGTGGTGTATTTCATTGTTGGTTAGTTGTTGTATAGTGTGGTACAAGGTGGCCACCACTACCACCATCTCTTGTATCTCCTGTACCATTTAGCACTGTAGTCTTGTGAAGTGTGGTATCCCATGTAGCTTGGTCTCAGCAGAGCAGTTGGCCGTCTGAGAGAGCCTTGCACAAAGCACAATTCCGAAGCCACAGCAACGATCATCATGGATATCTGAAATACCCGCCCTTGTAAGGTTAGGAAAGTGTCCGAAACAAACCTACAACTTTCAGAGTACGAATCTAATCACTTTGCGGGGAAACGCTGCAGCCATTCAATAAGATCAAGGTAAAAGGATTAAAGAATTCATGGTTTTGACCTTCACCCCCTTTTTTTCGATGTGTGTGTTTGTGTGTGAGTGTGTGTGTGTGTATTACATACATATATATATATATGCACACACACACACTCACATGGGTCTTCAAAACCATGGATTCTTTATATATTATATATATATATATATATATATATATATATATATATATATATATATATATGTGGTGTGTGTGTGTGTGTGTATGTGTATATTTATAAACGCGATAACATATTCAATTGTAAAAGTACATATATATTCAAAAAAAGCTGATAATAAGTATGTGTTTATACATGCATACATGAATATAATAAATAATGTTTTATTATATTGCAGAGAATGGGGAAAATAATGTATTATTTTAACAAAATGACAATTGTAAAATATATTGTTATCTGAAATACATTTTCATGGGACAAATATTATACCAACGTCTCTAATCTGAAGTTGCTAACATCCAAAATGAATGATTTCACATGGAAAATTATCACGGTTTGACAAAAATGTTCAAGACAATTTTTTAAAGCCTAAGTCTGAACACGTTATTATTAAGAGCCACAACTAACGCCGCTATAAATGTATAAACTAAATCCGGACACTTTCAAATAGAGATGACCGTGTGAAGCTTTTATCTACTGTTGGAGGGGTGTGTGTGTCATGATAATTGGAGGTCAAAGTGTTGTACTCTTAGCCTACAGGTACGGGCCTCGTTTTCTAATGTTCAAATGGTGTGATACGATTCTTCAATCTAATCTATCATCACATTGTGATTGTTCGGCTAATGTGTTTTTAAATGCTAAATATACTAGTGAATGGGTCGGGAATATAGAAAGGGAGAAAAAAAAAACAGATGTTTGTTGAAATATAAAATTTTTATACATTGAGATTCCATAAAAGCATTGGTTTTAATTCTGAGGGTCCCCCGAGGGGTATATGGATCATATTTGTGTCGTCATCAGGGCCACAAACGACATAATCCACACTTTGCCTATGCAGCAGATGTGCTTGCAAATGGTTGTATGCTGCATACAGTTGGCCAGTTTGGCATGCCTGCCACATCTCATGATGTCATTTTCTCAAACGTATTTCTGTTTCCCTCTTTACCTAGCTCCTGACTCCTAATGATGGTTTTTGTAAGTATAATCTCTTCTCGTGTGGCTGTGTTACTTGTCCTTTTATCTCCACTTCCATTAACTCTTTTTTCACTTCATCAAACATATGGGGCCAGAGATCTGGCTGGGGAAAGAAATACTTTCAGGCGTGCCGTGAAGAGAACGACGTTCTCTAAAGGACTTGCTGATGAGAGCTCTAAAAGTTTTTCATTCCGTGAAATACAACATATTTTCCAAAATTGTACATAACCTTGGTCTTATGTTTTATTTACTTATACATATAGGAGCCAGTGTGGTGTTTCTGTCTAGACGTTCGCCTGCCGATACGAAGGTCGTGGGCTCAAAAGCGTACGGCGCTGGAATTTTTTTTCTTCTCAAAGATGACATGGGCTCCCATATTGACCCGCTACAGTAAGTACAGGTGAGGTCTTGAGAAGTAAAGCCGGTGGGCGGGACGTTGATCGCGTAACCCATCGAGGTCTCTACAAACTGGTCTATACAAATGCGAGTTTAGTCTCACATTAACGTTGTAGCACTAGTATGTAACACTTTACCTCTAGACCATGTAGCACTGGCGTTTAACACTTGACCATGTAGCACTGGCGTGTAACACTTGACCTCTGGACCATGTAGCACTGGCGTGTAACACTTGACCTCTGGACCATGTAGCACTGGCGTGTAACACTTGACCTCTGGACCATGTAGCACTGGCGTGTAACCCTTGACATCTGGACCATGTAGCACTGGCGTGTAACACTTGACCTCTGAACCATGTAGCACTGGCGTGTAACACTTGTCCTCTGGACCAAGTAGCACTGGCGTGTAGCACTTGACCTCTGGACCATGTAGCACTGGCGGGTAACACTTGTCCTCTGGACCATGTAGCACTGGCGTGTAACACTTGACCTCTGGACCATGTAGCACTGGCGTTTAGCACTTGACCTCTGGACCATGTAGCACTGGCGTGTAACACTTGACATCTGGATCATTCAACTCAATTTACCCAGGGGCCAAAATGTCTGAAAAGGGGAATCTTCGCCGACCTGAGCCCTC